GGATGGGATTGATGAGCAATGATAACATAAGATGCCTCATTACATCATCTTTAGAGTTATGGCTATTTTCATACTTGTACATAAACTGAGCCATTCTTGCAAAATTCACTGTAGTTTCAATCAAAGTTTGAGGGAGAGGAGAGGGCTCAAATTCATTTTTGTTCATCTTTTTCTATGATTTGTCAATCAAATCTTTTATATACTCACTAATATATTCACTAGCAAATCTTTTATATATTCATTAGCATCTTCTTATGAAACTCCAATTTCATGCATGTAACATTAAATGGATTTTGGGGCATCACTTCTTCTCATTGTATCCTAAAAGGGAGGGATTATAAGTCATGTGAAAACACCTCAAATCAAGAAGCACAATGAGACAAAGGGTACACACCAACGATGTTCCCAAATCATCTACAAGCCTCAATACCATTGATGAACAATGGATTATATTGGACAATTCTTCCTCTAGATATTGCAAGACTTTAGTTGTTCTGTGATTTAAAGAAAAAACATAAGCATGCAACAATACTACATGTGCTGATATTGAAATAATTGCATTATCAATGTACTCCAACAAAGATGGTGTGTTTTCTTGGTGGTAACATTTTGCCTCTATCAAGTAAGTTTTACATAAACCTAGTCACTAGGGTAAATTAAGATTGAAAAATCAGTTAGAGAAAATAAGGACAAAGAAATTAAAATTATGAGAAATAAGTAATGATCCCACTTTCTTTGAGTAAGGAAGAATGTTATTCCTTGTTCCTAAAAAATGTCTGCAGTTAGCTACGCTAGAATTTTTTGGTTTCGTATCCTTGATTAGATCCCAATTTAATATACTTGATTAAGAACAATAAAAGTTTGTATTCTTGTTTGGAAATTTATCGAAAGTTTGAATCCTTATTATTCTTTTCTCTTTTTCTTTTTCTCTTTTTCTTTTTCTTTGGCATACCATAAGAAAAATATTATTCATTTTTGCAGCCCATATGGAAAATATATGGCATTTCTCATTGTAAATTAGAAATGACGATGGGCCTTTCTCATAAAAAAAAAAAAAAAAGAAAAAGAGAGAGAGAGAGAGAGAGAAAGAGAGAAAGAGAGAGAGAGAGAGAGAGAAGAATAGAAAAGAGAAGAAAGAAAAGGAAATAAAGAATGACAATGGGCCTCAAATAAGATCGCTCTGCCTGGAATTTTTAAAATGTGAGTATGGTAGTATTTTCTTTTCAGAGGTAGCTATGACACAAATTTCTTTGCAACAACATTTACTTTTCTTTGGAGTCAACAATGTCTAAAATTGAATTATATTACTATTCCCCTTCAAGAGAAGAAGTAACTGTCATTTCCAATGATTATTGATGCAGTAAAAACTTGCTTGTGAAGTTGGTCTACCTTTGCTGAAAATTAATGTAGCAAAGCCATTCCACTTCAGGAAATGGGATTCACAACCAAAGATAATATGCGATTTCTGTTGGAAATTAGATCCTATTATTTAGCCATTATCTCTATAATTTCGGAAGTTTGAGTTATTTATTTGTTTTAGGTTGTTATAATTTAAATTACATTAAATAAGATTGGTTAGTTATCTTTTTAGATAATGTTATCTTATAAAGCCTATTTAAAGGCTAGTTATTTTCATTTTAACATGAATTTGATTCCCATTCCATTTTCTTCTTTGGAATTCCTTGATTTTTAACATTTGGTATCAGAGTCTATTCCCGGCAAATTCCATGGCTTCCGAAAATTATTTCCAACCCTCAATCCCTCGTTTTGATGGTCATCACTACGACTATTGGAGTATGTTGATGGAGAATTTTCTCCGATCCAAAGAGTATTGGACAGTTGTTGAAGCTAGCGTTCTAGAACCAGCGACAAGTGCAAATGATGCACAGAGGGCAGAAATTGAGAAGGAAAAGTTGAAAGATCTCAAGGCTAAGAACTATTTGTTCCAAGCCATAGATCGGGCTATCTTGGAAACAATTCTTAACAAGTCTACTTCCAAGACTATTTGGGATTCCATGAAGAAGAAGTACCGGGGGAATGAAAGAGTAAAGCGGTAACAGCGCCAGGCTTTGCGGGCAGAATTCGAAGTTCTGCAGATGTAGATTGGTGAATCTGTAGATGATTCTTTTGCAAGGACGATGGCTATTGCAAACAAGATGATGGTGAAAATCTAGACGATGTTGCCATAGTTGAGAAAATCCTTCGGTTTATGACAACAAAATTCAATTATGTTGTTTATTCAATTGAGGGGTCAAATGATATTGAGACACTTTCCCTTGATGAGTTGCAGAACTTGTTGTTAGTTCATGAGTGGAAGATAAATTGCCAAGACAAGTAAGAGCAAGCAGTGCAGATTTTGTAGACACAAGCCTTACAAACCACAGTTAATTCAAGAGCTATAGGCTGAGGAAAAGAAAGTTGGAAAGGCAAATCATGATTTGATAGACTGGAGGGAAGTTCAGCCACTGAATATCAGAAGAGGTGGCAGAATAGAAATTGTCAAGCTGTAGATAACAGATCCAAATCTGCAGGAAAGGCAAGTGTTGACTGTTTCAGATGTCATAAGTATAGCCATTATCGTTCTGAATGCCATGCTAATTTGAATAGAGGAGAAAATTCTAACTTTGTAGAACACAATGTGAGGAATGATGATGCCTCTCTATTCATGGTCTGTCATCCTAAAGAAGTCAACAAGAAGAATGTATGGTATCTGGATACTGGCTGCAATAACCACATGTGTGGAGACAAATCTGCTTTTTCAGATCTGGATGAGTCTTTTCAAGACAAGGTAAAATTTGGTGATAATTCCACTATTGTAGTCAAGGGAAAAGGAAAGGTAACCATTTGTGCCAAAGACAATTCAATTTAGACTATTGCTAATGTTCTGTATGTACCAAATTTGAAGTCGAATCTGTTTAGTCTAGGACAGCTTCAGGAGAAAGGATATGAAATCATGATTAAAGATGGAGTTTGCCAAGTTCGTGATTCAAAGCTTGGCTTGATTGCAAAGGTCAAGATGACGGAAAATAGGTTGTTTCCATTATACTTGCAGACCACAAATCTATCATGTTTATTTGCCAGATTAAAGGACATAGCATGGTTATGGCATTGCCAATATGGCCATATTTATTTTGGTGGGTTGAAGGCCTTGCAGCAAAAGGAGATGGTAAATGGTCTTCCTCATTTTGATTCTCTTTCAAAAATTTGTGAAATCTGCATGGTCAGTAAGCAGCACCGTAACAGCTTTCCTAAAGACAGATCTTGGAGAGCAAAGTGGGTGCTAGATTTGGTTCATTCTGATCTATGTGGACCCATAAATCCAACATCCAATGGAGGTAAACAATACTTTATTACCTTTGTTGATGATTACAATCGCAAAACATTGGTGTATTTTTTGCAGACCAAGTCAGAAGCCTTAGCAGTCTTTAAAAAATTCAAAGTCTTGGTTGAAAATGAGGCTGGCAAATCTGTAAAGGTTCTACGTACAGATCATGGTGGTGAATTTAACTCAAAGGAATTTGCAGATTTTTGTGAGACCAATGGTATTAAAAGACAACTTACAGCAGCTTATACACCCCAGTAGAATGGTGTATGTGAGAGGAGGAATCGCACAATCATGAATATGGTGCAAAGTCTGATGTTAAAGAGTGGCTTGCCTAAGTAGTTTTGGCCAGAAGCTATAAATTGGAGTGTTCATATTTTGAACAGAAGTCCCACATCTCCACTTCCAAATATGACGCTAGAAGAGGCTTGGAGTGGACGCAAACCTACTGTTGACTACTTTAGAATTTTTGGGTGCATAGCATATGCACATGTGCCAAATCAGAAAAGGAGTAAGCTTGATGACAAAGAGGAAAAGTGTATTTTCCTTGGTGTGAGTGATCAATCCAAAGCTTACAGATTATACAATCCTATAACCAAGAAGGTCATAATTAGCTATGATGTAGTGTTTGATGAAGCAAGCACTTGGTCTTGGATAGAAAAATCTGGGTGACAGATTCTTATAGATTTCGAGAATGGTGAAGATTTGACTGTGTAGAACTCAAAAGGTCAGACACAGCAGACTGGAGGTTTAACTTCAGCAGATCTTGAAGTTTCGAGACAGACAACTGAAGAAAGTCTAAGTATTGGAGGAAGTCTGCCAACAACACCAGAACTGGAATCTTAAACTAGTTCTAGACCTCAACGCAAAAAGAGAAGACCAATCTGGTTGGAGGATTATGAGGTAATAGATCTACCTCAAGATGATGTTCCAGTTACTCATTTTGCTCATTTTGCAGATTGTGATCTATTGACATATGAAGAAGCTATTAAAGAAGAAAAGCGGCAAAAAGCCATGGCAGAAGAAATTGATTCTATTGAAAGGAACCAGACTTGGGAGTTGACAGATCTTCTAGAAGGGCACAAGACAATTGGTGTTAAGTGGATTTACAAGACAAAGCTCAAAGAGAATGGGGAGGTTACTTAGTGTTTGCAGCATGCAGAATTCAGTTTGAGGGAGGGTCTGCAGATTCCATATTGCAGACACAGTGTTTTCATATTTCTCTAAACTAAAGTCTGACGACTTTTAGTTTAAGGGAGGGATTGTTGGAAATTAGATCCTATTATTTAGCCACTATCTCTATAATTTAGGAAGTTTAAGTTATTTGTTTGTTTTAGGTTGTTATAATTTAAATTACATTAGATAAGATTGGTTAGTTATCTTTTTAGATAATGTTATCTTGTAAAGCCTATTTAAAGGCTAGTTATTTTCATTTTAACGTGAATTTGATTCCCATTCCATCTTCTTCTTCTCTGGAATTCCTTGATTTTAACAATTTCTAGTCCTTTGATCTTGAGAACTATGACCATCTCCATACAAATACATAAATTGAGCCATCCTTGCAAGGTTCATTGTTGTTCCCATCAATGTAAGAGGGAGGGAAGAGATCTTAAATTGTTCTTTGTTCAATTTTTTCCATGTTATGTCAATCAAATTCCAAATATATTTATGAGCATCTTCTTCAAAAGCTCCAGTTTTCATTCATGTAACTTTGAATTGATTTGGGAACATCACCTCTTTTTATCTCATCCTAAATCAAAGCAAACAAAAAACACCATGAGAAAACTCCAATAACAAGTAATCTATAAAAGAACTAAATCAAAAGTCTTTTTATCTAATACTAAATCAAAACACACCTACACACACACACAAAAAAAAAAAAAAGGGAAAACTTGAATGACAAGTCATTTATAAAAAAGCCAAATCAAGAGTATTTTTAAAGTATGCACCAGTGATGTTCCCAAGTCATTTGCAAGTCTCAATAGCAATGACGAAAAATGAATGACATTAGGATACTCCGGTTCAAAGCATTCCAAACCCTCCCTTGTTATTTGATTTGAAATAAGAGCATAAGCATAATGTAGTATTATAGGTGCTCCTATGGAAACCACTGCATTGTCAAGGTACTCTTGTAGAGTTGGTGTGTAACCACTATGGTACCATTTAACTTCCAACAAATAAGTTTTACATAAATCTGTCCACTGGAACAATTTTTAGAATGACTTAGTGAGTTAGAAAAAATTGTACAGTGATGAAAAAAATTTTAAAATTTTAAAAGAAAAAATTTACCACTTTCCTTGAGTGGGGAAGGATGTCTGGTCCTTGTTCCCTAAAAATGGCAGCAGCCATTTGATTTATAGAGTTGTATAGCTGAAAGAAACATAACTTCATGTAGTCGGGGAGCTTTTCAATTCTATTGATATCCCATTTAAAAATTGGTATACAACAAGACATATATGAGATTAATCTAGGCCTGAATACAAGAAGCAAAATAGGTACTAACCTCTCAACCGCTTCAATAAAAAGCTCAAGTTCATCCATTGTTCCGTAGACATCATAAATATCATCTATTGTTGTTATTAGTGTATTGACTTGTGTCACCATTCTTCTATAATATCCATAATAAGGCTTATATAACTCCCCAGTTAGCCATAGGAAATTCTCCACCAACCTGTCCCTGATGAACCCCAACTTTTCCCTAAGACCTATTCTATTCCACCACCTAGAATATATTGTTGGAACTTAAAATAAAATAATATACTTTAGAAATTGATCTTATTGTCCCATTAAGTACTTGGTCAAACTAGTCATTGTAGATTAATTGTCCTATTTAAGGATACATTATTACATAATAATTGCCCAATTTATTCTTATCATTAATGTACAAATGAGAGTTACGTAACCATGAGTTCTATAAATAAGACATGTCTTTTTGATCAACAAGAGAAGTTCCTCCACATTCTCCTATTTTTCTTACCTTACTTTATTTTCTAAATATTCTTGGGCAAAGAAAGATGTTTTGAGTTAGGTAATTCCATGGATAGTGTAGATTCATAAAGTGTTTTTATAAAGTTGTAGCATCTTGGGGGCGGCATGCTATGTATATCTTTGCTGCATCGGTCGATTTACTCTCTATAAAGGCATGAATCATCTTAAAGTAAATAAACATTTCACACCTATTTTGATGATATTTTGTTATCAATATTTCTTGATAAATTCACTAATCATTATTTTATTTGATCTTGATCTTGTAACTGAGGCACAACAATAATATGATGCAAACTTGGAGAAGAATGTTCGAGGAATAACAATTTTAAGGCAATTCAATATACAAAACAAAATTGAAACATATGCCACCTTGTGTAAGCAAAACACTTTCTTGAATATATTTGCGCCAAATAGATATGAGTTCTTGGTACAAATATAGTCAAAAAAATAATTGAGGATGCCATACATTACTTTCTTTACTTTTTCTGTTGAGTAATGCATACAAAGTATGTGTTCTATTGGCTCCTAACATACTCCCTAATTTATGAGACATTTTTATTGGCTAAAAAAAAAAATCAATGAATAGTCGATTCCTATCATATGTTGCTGTTTCAAATGAATATACATATTTTATCATGAGATGTTGGAACTTAATGATATTATTAATTTGTTTAATTTCCAATAGCTTGAAATATCATAAATGGCTATGGTTAGTGTAAATGTAGTGTTATAAGATCAACCATTTGCTCTTAATGCATACATATGGTTATTATTTGGTTTGTTTCCAATAGTTATGAAAAAATTGGTGAATAAATATATGCATTTAATTAACCATATTATTGAGTTCTTTAATGAAATAGGTGAAACTTTCAGAACCCAAGTGAAAAGATTATAGAAGAGAGCTACCTGATTTGGTCCATGCAATAATTTTGAAAAAATGGATATGAAATTTGGGTTGATATATTCTGAAACTATAAGTTAAATTTTTTTAAACTTGCGTGACTAAGGAGCTATTTGTGGTAATACAATGTAAGATGAGCTAATGCTATTATGAAATCTTGTGAGAAAAAGAGTTTTCTATAAACTCAATTATTTGATAAATGTGAAAATCACATATTTGAGATGGTCCCAATGTGGGGGATTCTGATATCCCTATGTATTATTATTGGTGATGAGACTAATGGTGCCTAATTGAAATTTTGCATGGCATTCCTATTATACAATAAGGTATAATGGTGCTTAATATAGCAAATGTGATATGCACTCCTATTATACAATTATGGTATAATGGTGTATAATGAAAAAGAATAAGGCATTTAATTTGAATAGAAGGGATATGCTATTATGGACATTCCTATTGTACAACAAGGTACAATGGTGTTTGAGTTAAAAAATTCTTAAATGCATATCTCTACATGTATAGAAAGAAAAGGGTGATTCATTAGCTTGATTTGATATCAAAAAATTGTGATACCATGAATTGAGAATGTGAGAAATATGAATGTGAATTTTATGAGCTAGTAGACATGTGGGTTGATGTGAAAAGAAAAAGTGAAAAAAAGAATGAGTTAAATCTCTTCATTACCCACTTTACCACCAACTAGGCCTTTGGTAAGAACAAGACTTGGAGGAAAAACTATGATCATAGTCCAAGGTCTAGTGCTCATCAAGGGGAATGGATTTAAGCCCAATGATGTACAACTTTCTATGAGGATACCCAACCCAAATTCTGAGAATTGGGTTTTGAATAGGAAAAACAAATTATAGAGAAGTTGTTGTTGAAAGATGCATCGATATTTAATGAAAAAAATTTTCGGTCCCATTCCTAGGATTCCCATAATGAATTGAGGGTTGATTTTTATGCTCTTAATGAAATTTGTAGCTTATTGAGTGTGGTGTCTTAGTTATTGGAGCACCCTTGACAAATTTCACCTATATGGATGTCGAAATGAGGCCGCTTCTATGAAAATTGAATAGATAATTTTCTAGATCACCTATGAAAACTGGGATCATGCGCAAGGTCATAATGCATCAGTTGTGTGAAAAACTCAACATTTAGATCATTATGTGTGTAATACGATTCTTGTGTCTTCCAATGGAATCATAGTTCAAGATTTAGTTCCCTATTAACTTTGGATTAAAAATTGTTGACCCACTAAATAAAGGTTCAAGGCTTAACTACCTTTATGTAATAATCCATCTTTGCCCAAAAGAATGGTTTATTTTTTATTAAAATAGTGGGAAAATTGTTGGAAGTTAAATATTTTAATAAAAAATAAAATAATATATTTTATAAATTAAATTTATTATCTCATTAAGGGCTTGGTTAGACTAGCCATTGTAGGTTAATTATCTTATTTAAAAGCACATTATTACATTATAATTACCCAATTTATTCCTATCATTAACCTACAAATGGGAGTAACATGATCATAAATCTTATAAATAGGACATATCTTTTTATTTAATAAGACTCCTATTTTTCTTACCTTACTTTATTTTCTAAATATTCTTGGGCAAGAAAGATATTTTGAGTTAGATAACTCTGTGGGTAGTGTAGATTCATAGAGTGTTATTATAAAGCTGTAGCATCCTGAGACCGACACACTATATATATCTCTGCTGTATCGATCGATCTACTCTCCATGGAAACGTGAATCGCCTTAAAATAAATAAGCTTTTCATGTCAATTATAATGATATTTTCTTATCAATATTTCTTGATAAATTCACTAAGTATTATTTTATTTGATCTTGTGACCGAGGCACAAAAATAATATGATGCGGACTTGGAGAAGAATGTTCGAGGAACAACATATATGACCAGATGTCATTATCAATTTGAGCAATTTTGTAGAAAATGAAGATAAAATCGAAACCGAACGCTGTCAAGTTTTTGAATTGTCAAATATAGTTGCTCTAATTACCTTGAAGCATGTTTTAGATCCTCTTGGAAGGTGGCTTGCACCAGGTTAAAATCCAACCTAGCAAGATCGAGCAAGAGGGGGTTCACACGTGGACTTTGTTGATAAACTTCCATGAACCATCTTGCTTCCATCCTAATCATCCTCTAACGAAGCGGGAGCTCCAGGGCATGACTCACTAGTGTGCAAAGATACATATCTTTGCCTTGGTTAACCTTGATATATTCTTTGAGATGCTTGGTTGCAAAAGCTCTTGCAGCATCCAATATGCTTTCACCTTCCACTGAATGGAATGAGGCTTCATATAGAGATATAGTATTCCCTTGTAATTTTCCCCAACGTAAGCCTTAAAGTTCCCACCCTTATCTCTGAAACCATTGAAAATCTACAAAGAGAGAGAAAAAAAAATGCAATCAAGAGTAGTTTTTTATATATTCTTTGACATATTTACAGCAGGGACAGTAGAACTTACCTTGAGGTACATTATACCCACGGTGTCTTAGGATTCTGAATTTAAGAGCTGTAGCATATAGACTGTCTTTCTTGAGCCCATAATTACCATGATTGTTGCTGTATATTCTGTCCCAGAGATTTCTTTATTTCATCTTCAAAATGTTAAGATAATCCAAGTCTTTGCAAGTGATCAATGAGCTCGAGTTGTTCCTCATCCACCTCCTCTTGTAGCATCACTCTCACATCTTCCTTTAACTTGTCCGCACGCCTGTTGTATCCTTCTCCCTGCAAGTGTAAAAATACTCTATTAAAACATTCAGTTTAACTAACTAGAATAGTTAGAACTACCAGAAGTTATATGTATAGTACCGCATTTTCAGTTTTCAGTGACTGAATATATTCAAAACTCCAGATGGGAGGTTGGTAATCTGTCGGCCGCCTAGCAATTTCCTGATCAGACATGTTGATGGCAGACATGGATCGAACTTGAGAAGAAGCGCATAGCAGCTATGAGATGATGGAGGTAGCATACGTCCGGATAAAATGACTCTAGGAACAGAAGTATGCAAGCGCAGAGGCACAGATAGAGCCACTGATACAGACCTCATCTTCTCGGGTTGGAGGACTAAATGGTGGCCTTATTTCTGCCTTATTTTCCACAAGACTAGAACTCCAGAAGCTTTGCAGATTGGGAAGAAACAAATAACTTGCTTTTATAGAGAGATTTTTGCTTTTAGTCAAGCCTCATGTTTTCCATGGTTAACTGTACACAGCACTTGCCTCACTCAGTCTTTACATATATAAATACATTATTATATGGTATATACAACTCAACACAAAAATCAGGTGGGCGGCGGGGTGACATTATTAGAGTATACATTGTCATATTATTTCCCTATCACTTTAGAGACTTACTGTTTGATTTTTAGTTCATTTTTGTCTAACATGGGTTCTGTAAATTGTAAAGGTCATCGGTATTAATTGCTTTATCTTAACAACGGGGAATTAATGGTTATGGTAGTGAACATGCATCCCATCCATTAGTGTTGAATCATGAAATAAACTTGTAGTTTGGTTATTATCAACATAAATAATTTAATGATGATTTTTTTCTTTAAAAATAAAAGATCTTAAGTTTAAATTGTATAATATATAAATAGAATGAATTAAAAGATTAAAAAATTATCTTTTATTATATAATTTAAAATATATATATATATAACACATGTTTAAAAAATCAAGTTTAATAGAACTTTAACAATGGCCGTAAAGACAAATTATACAAACAAACACTAATAAGGCAAAACATGCGGATCAACCCCTCATCTTTACGGGCAGTGCAGATTACCCCCTCAACTGAATTCATGCTCAAACTCCCCCTCAAGGTTATTGTTAGTGGCAAAATGGCCCTTGTCTGACGGATTACGTCAACAATCCGTGCAATCCTAACGCTGAGATGCTTTTGGTGAGACCCATGGATGATGTGGTGAAAAACTAGACATGCTGGATGTTAAGGTGGTTATAAATTTGGTGACTTGGCAAGTGGTTTATTTTTCATTTTTATTTTTTCCGTACAAATTTCTCTCTCTCTCTTTTCTTTTCCTTTTTTTTTTTTTTCTTTCCTTCTTTTTTTTCTCTCTTCGTCAGCCATTTTTGCATTTGCTCATTCTCTCTTTCTTCTCTGAAATCCTACAACTTCCAAATTTATAATAGGTTACGCAAGAAAGTAATAAAAAAAATAATTAGAATCAACTTTGTATTTAGTAGTTTGTAAGGTTAAAAACGTAAAGGATATTAGTTTGAACTCAAGATATTTAAATTTTATTTTTCTTTACTGGTTTTGAGAGATTAACAATTTATTTTATTCATAAATGCTCTCATTTATACTAATTAAAGATTTGTGTAAAATTTTAATTTTGATAAATCATTGATAGGAAATTAGAATCCTTTTAGGTTATGCCTATAAAATATTTGATGAATTAACTAACCGAGCTGTGTTCGGTTTATGTGCATAAATTATTCTATATTTTTAAATGAAGATGTAATAGGTTAAGATATCCTTGTACATAATTAATAAAATCCATTCCTTGGAAGATTAAAAGGAAGTGTTGATTTTTTCCTTAATGAGAAATTTGTGTTTAAGATTTAAGAATTTACAATGGATTTTATCAAAATTTAAATTTAAAACAATAGTTATCAAAATTTATAAATTAACCTTCAAAATCCTCTAAATTTGTGTATCTTGAGTTGAAACTAATATCCTCTACATCTCAATCCTTACAAACCATCTAGGATAGATCACTACTAAAATTCCAACTTTCAGCAACATGGGAGCATGTTGCTTAAAGTACTTGTCAAGTTGGTAAAAGCTTTTCAACAACATAGCTTTTGTTTTTGAAAGTTTTGTTGAAAAGGTTTTGGTGGCTAATACATTAGCAACAAACATAATTTATGTTGATAATATTTTTTGTCGGATTTTGGTAACCGGTGCTGGAGTTTATTCTACCATTTTCAGCAACAAAAGCCACGTCGCTGAAAATATGGTTTCAGCAATGTGACTTTTGTTGCTAAAAGTTTAAAGGATAGGATGGTTTTTCACTTTTTAGCAACGTATGCCTTATTGCTGATTGCACAGTTTCAGTAACGGAGTCCAAGTTGGTAAAAAAATTTACTAGATTTCGACCCCGAAATTTCACTAATTTTCAGCAACAAGAGCCACGTTACTGAAACTGTATGTTTAAGGGAAAAAGTGGTTTTCCACTTTTCAGCAACGTATGCCTTGTTGCTGATTGTCTATTTTCACCAAATATTAAATATTTTGATATCTCATATACAATATAATTATTTATACATATAATTAAAAAAATTATAACTAAATATTAATTATTTATTAAGTTTAACTTAATTAATTTAAATTAAATAACATAAGTTGATTAATGTATGGTTATGTATTTTAGCAAACTTAAATTTTATTTTATTAAGAATTACATACAAATCAAATAAAATAAAAAAAATTATTAATTACTATATATAATTATTTATAAATATATTAACTTTCAAATAAATTGATGTCAACTTAATAATGTAATATTTACAAAAATATAATTTAAATATGCTTAAATGTATTCAATTATTGGTATATATACATATGGATTACATGCGTTAACAGAGAAAAAAAAAAAGAAGTTGAGAGGCACGTGAATCTTCGCCCATTTGCAGCAGGCCGCACAAGGAGAAGGAAGGCATCCAAATTGAGAATTTCAAAATACATTTGCTACCTAAAAAAAAAAAGCTAGCCGAGAGGCACGCGGATCTGAGGATGTTGCAGCAGGCCGCATGAGGAGAAGGAAGCTAGGCTTGCAGGAAGAGAATTGCATAATACATGTGGTAACAGAAAAAAAAAAAAAAAAAAAAAAGGCTGAGAGGCGCACAGAGCAGAGGAAGTTGCAGCAGGCCACACGAGGAAGGAAGCCATGTGAGAGGAGAATTGCAGAATTCATGGAGATGGTGGGGTATATAAAGACCTTTCATCAACATAACATTTCTTGCTGAAAGTTTTTCCCCTATCAGCATCTTAGACCATGTTGCTAAAACCCATTTGAATTTGAATCTCACTCCTCATTATTAACGTGTATTATGTTGCTAAAATTTGAAATTAAAATCACTCCCGCTTCACCACTAAATGATTAAAATTATTATATTTTAAATAATTCTTAATCATTAAAAAATTTATTTTTATAAATAAAATTTAATTTATTAGTTAGTTTTATTTCATCTATTAAATTTTATTTAACACATGACAAATTAATTAATATATTTACATTAGTTATTAACATATTTAGATAATTTTAAACTCTATTTTATTTTTAAAAAAATGTGGATATGCATATGAGGTGGCCAATCATTAAAAAGTATTAAGAACAATAATATATATTTTACATAAAATAATAAACCTTGAAAGCATAAAAATTATAAACTTTATATTAAATTAATCATGTTACATCATAACCTTAGATGGCTAAATTAATTCATAATTAAAAAAAAAATCAACAATCTCATGATGAATATATAAGTATCTAACATTATAAAATAAAATTTAAAGACAAGCAAAATCACTTTGACAATAGAAAATCTCAAGTCTAAATCTCAAGTCTTGATCTCTTTTTGTTGTTGAATTCCTCTTAGCCATCTCTCTTGGCCTCCTCCTAAAAGCCCTTAAACTGATTTTTGAATGGGTATTTATAGAGTTTAAGAAACCCTATTAGAAAAGAAGTAGGACTTAAAACAAAATAGGAAACTTAAATTTTTGGGAGCTGAACCATGATATTGATACTGTATATTACACTGTGAATTGTGTGTCGACACTTCACCCGTGTCGAGTTTCTGGCCTCTTTCTACAATTTCTTCAATGGTCAACGTTCAGATCTGGTCCTCTAGATTTCGTATGATGATCACTTAGATCCAGAAACTTAAGATTCATTCATTTAGGTTCCAAATGAGACCCTTTCTTCTTGCAATTCAATCCCTATACTTTTAAAAGATATTCAATTAATCTCAGAAACTCTTATTATTATGCATTCAAGTCCTTTTCTGCTGAAAGAATGAAACCCATGTAAAATTTCATAAAATTCATCCAAATATTAATAATATCAAATCAGAAATTTCACATCAATATATATATAAATTCAGCTTATCAATGACGATTTGCATATTCTAAACCTAAAACTCATAGCAATTTAGTCAATCTTACTACAAATCATTCAATCCCAACTGATATATACACTCATGTCATAACAACTTAAAATCATCCATCCTGTGTAAAATCATATAAAATTACGTAATATGATAGTAAATGATGTGCACCAATGTGAAATGAGAAATAAGGGAAGGAAAAGAAAAAAAAAAGTTATACAATCACATTGGTTGTCAAAGTATTCTTGACTTTCCATTAAGCAAAAGAAAAAAGAGTTTTGAAATTTATAAAAATAATTTTTTGTAAATTAAAATATAAAAATAATTATGTGGGGATGAAAAAAGTGAATTGAATCGAAAAAGTAAGGGAAAAATAACAAGAAATTAAAAAGTGTGGAAGGTGCATATATATTGGCATAAGAAAGATGTATATATATAGTGGGTGATGGAGCTTTCACCAACAGACTTACCATGTTGCTGATTAGTGTTTGGGAAGGGTAGCTATTGGTCAATGAATAATAGCAACATGGATTATGTTGCTGATAAATAACATCAGTAACATAACCCATGTTGCTAATGTTGGAGGTTATTGGAAAATTTCTGAAAGTGGAACTAAATTTTTTATTGGACTTTGTACCATAGAGCCATCAACAATGTACGCCTTGTTGTTGAAAGTGAATTTCAACAATAAAAAGTATGTTGCTAAAGGTGGAACTAACTTTTTGATCGGAATTTGTACCATGGAGCCATCAGCAATATATGTCATGTTTTTAAAATTCACTTTCAGCAATATATATATTGCTGAAAGTGAAGCTTACATTTTGAGTGGTCAGTATACTATAAAGCTATCAGCAACATGGGTTTTGTTAGTGAAAACTTATATCAGCAACAAGCAATTCCATGTTACTGATAGTTAGTTGCTAAAAAACAGAATTTTAGTAGTGGATTTAACTCTAATTAACCATTTTTATTACTTCTTCACATAACTCATT